AAAATCATCATTAGCGATAGATGCAAATATTTCGAAAACAAGGTAATCCTTCTATGTTTTCTAGAAATGGATTAATAGGTGTTTTGTTTTTGGTTTCCGAAGTTTATGTTGAGCTTTCACTTGCATGTGGTCGTTCGTGGTGGTGAAAACGTACCAATAAATATCAGGATCGGTCAGAGTTAACTATAGGTTGGAGTTAAGTTCAGGTTTGCTTTTTTTTGATAGAGTTTTTAAGTATTAAAATTTAGCGATTTTTGAAAAGACGGTGGAGTAGTGACCGTTGGGAAAATCCCGATCGGAGTTGGTGTTTTAAGAAGTTTCATAAACCGAAAATAGCGGGCAGTCGTTTGTGGTGTCTTTATATGGCAAGTATCGCTCGTCCCAGGACTCGCTTAACTCTTTCTCGTAAAATCCGTTTTTTCCACATTTACTGGAACAACAAATGAAAACCGTAAAAGATTGATTTTCGATGTTTTTTTGACGTTTGAATTCTCTTCGCTCTTACCCTCACCTTAGTCACCCAGCAGACCTGATATTCGAACTCTCCGTATCGAATTACGTCTAGAAATGTCTTTTTCGAAAAATTTATTTCCGATGTTTTTTTGACCTCTCACCCGTCTCCTACCATGGTCACCTAACAGACCTGAGATTCGAACTCCCCGCATCAAAAAACCTCGAGAAATGTTTTTTCCTGAAAATTGGTTTTCAATGTTTTTTTGACCCTGCGGACAGACAACCATACAATTTATGTTTGCAAGGCTCTTCTATACGAGAAAGAGAATAGAAATGGTTCTGGACTTAGGAAGAAACTACCTGAGGTATCGAAAAGCGTTTGAGCTGAAATTCTGTCCGCACGGAGAGAATTCATAGACTAGAAAAATCCTAAAAGAATATGTACTCAAGTTGATGTTTGCCTGAGATATTGACTATTTATTGTATTTGTCGTATAGGGACCTATCTACGCGGTAAAATCAAGGTGTCCAATTTTGACCTGAAACTTTGTTCACACTAAGGCCTGAATCAGCAATACTTGCTTAGAAAGTTTCAGAAATTTTAGACAGATTATCTTCGAGATATAAATCCGCCAAAATATTCATGTGAAAACTAATATCCTTGGGAATACGTCTTTATGCTGGCATACTTGTATCTAGGAGACAGTCTGTCAGACGGCTCGGAAACTTTGTGAGAATGCTTGTCTGATTGAAGTTCTAGTGTGGACAAAGTTGCTGGCCTAAATTTGAAACTTTGATTTTACCGCACAAATAGGGACTTATACGACAAATAGTCGATGTCTCAGGCAAACATAAACTTAGGTACATATCCTTTTAGGCTTTTTCTAGTCTATGAAGTCGCTACGTATGGGCAAAATTTCAGCTCAAAAGTTTTTTGATACCTTGAGTAGTTCCCTCGTTAGACCTTTCAGGTAGAAATTGTTTTTTATACTTTTCTTTTTAGGTATACACGCTTTGAATGAATTTTACAAAAACGACAAATAGAAATGACAAGCAATGTTTGACAGTGTTCTGGTTACCAAGATGTAGCAAGTAGTAGATACTAGAAATTTTTTAAGAGGAAACTTAATATATTGAAAACTTTTATTCTTTCCGTTTCAAGAATTGTAGTGAAGAAAAGGAAATACTATTATTTTATTAGAAAATAAATAGTTATACAGCTTTTTCAAACTACTAAAAAGCGACCAGTTGAGCTGTTCCTGCCGGACTGTTTTTGTCGAACCCGTTATAATTGTGGGAGACGCCTTCTTTAATTTTTCGTATCTCGTGTGTGAACGTCTTAACTTATATATGAATAAATTTCATTTTGCATGATAGAGTGTTATTGAATTGTATTAATCAATGAAAAGTAGATGTTTTTATATTTATATGTACAAATATGTTTTATTTTTATATTAGATTAGCGGAGATATATGTCGCAAAAGCCGTCTTGTACAGTTTCTGCTGCAAAATCCCTTTCGCACAGTTCCCACTGCAAAAACTTTCTCGCCGTTTCCGCTGCAAAATCGCTAAATTTCGAGCACCTTCCGTATCCGACCTCCTCTCCACTTTTCCTTGTATATGCAGAAGTGTCATAGACGGTTTGGTGATGTTAGCTATCACAGAACCACTTGGCTGAAATTTCACCCAGGCATCCTCTCTTAACCTTCCATTAGTAACGCCAACTCCCTATCAATCTTCCATTGGACCAAGGGAGCAGCTTTGAACAGTTTGGTGACTATAACTATCACATAACTACCTGGGTGCAATTTCACCCAAGCCCACTCATCATCAATGGCTATACCAACCACCCATCGACCTTCCCTGAGACCTAGGAAAGCACCGTGAAAAGTTTGATGATCGTAGCTATTACAGGAACTGAATGCATAGTGAACAGAAGATGTGTGCTCAGACGGCATTCGGCCGCCTTCGCTACCTGTTTTTTTAACTTTTTGAAATACTGCAATCCTATTGGTTAGTTTTATAGATTGCCTGTAGCAAGCACAGGATTCATTTTTTTCGGAAAAAAATACATGTCGACCTTTCCCTAGGTGTAGACAATATTTCCAGAAAGTTTTATTGCATTTGCTCGTACGGTCTTCGAATGCATAAAGAACAAATAAACAGACAGACAGACATCCTTCTTTATATATATAGATTGATTCTTTATAACGAGACAGACTTATATGAAACTGCGTAATTTATTGTTCTTCAAAAGCTAAAACAACAAGTTCAATTAAAACAAGATTGAACTAAATATGCTATTCTGAAATTTCCTTGATGATACTTCTCTTGAAAAATTATCTGATTGATGTTGTCTACCATTCGACTGAGATCATATTCTGAACCTCTAGATAGATCATTTTATATGACAAACTATACTTACAACTTACTTGAAGTTAGATTAATTGCTTATAATCATTGTATATCAATGAATTCATTTTTCAATATACTAAATTTATTTTCGTAGAACTTTTGACAACAGAAACGACATCATCTCAATCTATATTGGTTCGTGATAATGAAGCCAAGCAACACCAATCATCTAAAAATGTGGACAACTTGTCTTTGAAGTATGAGTGCATTACAAATACGTATTCGAACGTTGATGAACTACAATTCATGAATTATGGCTATGCAGATCTTGATGAGGACATTAACGATGACATCGACTATTGTTCGAAAGAGCTATATAAACAGGTAAATAATCAAGAACGAACAACACAGAGTCCGGTGTTTTCTTTGCACATCGAACGTACAATAAATAGAATTTGCTTTTATTGAATGTGCAATCAACAGAATATCTACATCTTCAAGATGTATTGATAATCACTAAAATATTTTGCTCTTTGATATAGGTCCTTGCACACGTATTACTTACAAATCAGAATGTACTTGAAGTGAGTTGTGGTAGAGGTGCTGGTGCTGTTTGGTGCGTCCATAATTATGCATCTGGTTCTTATGTGGGAGCTGATCTTTCTTCCACTGTTATTGATGTATGTCGGCAACGCCATTCGATGATTTCTCGACTTTCTTTCGTAGTAGCTGATACAACAAAATATTTACCATTTGAAAATGAATCACTTGATATTGTTCTTTGTGTTGAAGCAACACATGCTTATGGTGGACCAGCAGCAGTACAACGATTCGCTAGTGAAGTCGCTCGTGTACTTCGTCCAAATGGATATTTTCTTTGGTGTGACTTATGTCACATAGATGGATCAGACACATCCATTGATTATTTAACAGCAAATGGTGAATTGATTGTTGAAGAAAAGATCAATATTACAAGGAACGTTCTCCATGCACTTGACATTCAAAGCAACATTCGTGCTGAATTTATTGAACGTTATGCTCGACCAAAAGAACAAGAATATTTTCGTTTGTTTGCTGGATTACCTGGTACTCGTATGTACAATGGCATATACGAAGGACATATACAGTATTGGCGAGCTGTATTTCGAAAGAAAACAACAACAAATATGTCTACCATCTGAAATTAAATTTTGGCTTGAAATAACAAACGACACGTAACTATACTCACTATATTTATGCTTACTATGAATAGTACTATTTTATCCTAGTTTATATTAATATCTCATTTTTATTTGTTAGTTCATAAACAGAAATAGTTTTACATTTTAAAGTATAGTTTTATAAAATTTGAATTAGAACACGCTTTTTTGTTGTTGCATAGAAACAGATTATTTTTGTTTAGGTGTATGCTGATATTTAGACAAGTGCTTTTGAATACTTGAGAGTGTAGATGTGGATCAAAAACGAATAATCACATCCATATCCACACCCAGTCGTGTGTTCTTTTTTATTAACGCAAACTATTAAATGTTTAATAATTTAACTTAATTAAGTGAAATTAAAGTTAAAAGCTCACCTAAAATTTTGACGGATCTGAAAAATTATTATATTTATTTTAGATATAAAACTCTATTATATCAATCCAGAAAATTAATATTTAAACAAAAAATACTAATGTCAGCTACAAATAATAATACATCACTCGAAGCAATAGCTTTAGTTGGTATAGCATGTGAATTTGCAGGTGATATTCATTCACCAAATGATTTATGGCATGCATTAAAAGAAAGTCGTGATGTTGGTAGTGCTGTACCACGTGATCGATTTGATATTGACTCATTTGCTGCTCATATGTTTAATATGGATAATAATGGACAACTTCGTCAAAAACTTCTTCGTGCTGGTTATTTTATGTCAAATCAACAATGGGATATGTTTGAACCAAGTTTTTTTGATTTATCAGATGCTGAAGCAGGCAGTGTTGATCCATGTCATCGATTACTTATGTTAAAATTTGTTCATTTACTTGATGATTGTGGATACAGTGTTGAAAAAGTGAATGGTACAAAAACATCAGTACATATTGGACAATTTTCAACAGATCATGCAATTGCAACAACTCGTATGAGACCTGAACATCGATCAAGATTTCATGGACCTAATAGTTTATTATATAATGCTTCAACTCGTTTATCATATCACTTTAATTTACATGGTCCAAATGTTTCATTAGATGTTGCTTGTTCATCATCTTTAGAAGCTTTACATATGGCTATACAATGTCTTCGTACAAATGAAGCCGATATGGCTGTATGTGGTGGTGTTAATGGAATTTTTGCACCGGAAAATTTTCTACAAAGTTCACTTATTGGTGCACAATCACCTGATGGAAGAAGTCGATCATTTAGTGCTGATGCTAATGGTTATGCTAAAGGTAAATAGTCAATTAATTCATTTTTATTTCGAAATAAATTTTAATATTAATTGTTTAGGTGATGGTCTTGGTCTTTTATTATTAAAACGATTAAGTGATGCCGAACGTGATGGAGATCGTATATATTGTGTTATTCGTGATGTACTAAGTTGTCATGATGGAAATGAAGATAAAATGAGTTTTGTCGTTCCATCAGCTGCTGGACAAGGACGTTTATTAGAAAATATTTATTCGCGAAATAATTTTGATACTCGAAAAATATTGTTTGTTGAAGCACATGGTACAGGTACACCAGTTGGTGATCCTATTGAAGCAAATTCTTTAGGTCGATTTTTTAATCGATCAAATCTTGATCCACCATTATTATTGGGTTCAATTAAAAGTAATTTAGGACATACTGAAGGTGCAGCTGGTGTTGCATCATTTATTAAAGCTGCTATGTGTATGTATCATCGTGGTATTACAGCAAATATGCAATTTACTTCACTTAATCCTAAAATAGAAGCACAAAAATATAATCTACATATTGTTCAGAATTTTATACCATTCCCAACTCTTCCAAATAATGAAAAAATAGCTATTGGTGTTAATTCATTTGGAATGGGTGGTACTACGACACATGTTATTATTGAAGAATATCAACCAAATAAAACATCAATTACAAATGGTCATATCAACGGATATCATATTAAAAGTAAACAATATTTTACTTTCATTTTTTCAAGTAAGTTCTTAATTTCTTTACATTAATAAATAATTTATTTGTTCGTCTTATTCAGCAAAAAGTCGTCAATCTCTTAATAATCAGTTAATTGAATTCAATCGTTGGTTAGAGACAAAACCAATTAATGATATAGATGATGATCAAGCTTTTCTTCAACGTATATCTCAACAACTTCTTCTTAAAAGAACTATTAGTTATACACATTCAGCAATCTTTGTTTTCGTCAATCGTCAACAATTACAAGATCAAATCAATGCTTTTCTTACTGAACAAACATCACCAGGCCTCTCAATCATATCACGTCCAACAAAAGCATTAGCACAGAAAATATGTTTTGTTTTTAGTGGACAAGGTCCACAATGGTGGGCTATGGGTAGACAATTATATGAAAGTGAACCTTTATTTAATAAATGGATTAATTTAATTGATGGAGAAATGACAAAAATTAATAATGGTGAATGGAGATTATTAGAAGAATTGATTGAAAAGAAAAATGAACAAGAATCTCGTATTAATGATACAAATATTGCTCAACCAACATTATTTGCTATACAAGTTGCATTAGCAGCTTTACTTGTTTCGTGGAATATTTATCCATCATCGATTATATCACATAGTGCTGGTGATCAAGCAGCTGCTTTTGTTGCTGGTCGTTTAAGTTTAGAAGAAGCTGTTCGTGTTGTTTATCATCGATCACGTCTTCAAAATCGTAATACACGACAAGGTGGTCGTATGTTAGCTGTTTCAATGAGTGAAGAAGAAGTACAAAATAAACTTCTTAAAGGTATTGAACATTTGGCTTCTATTGCTGTTGTTAATAGTCCTCGTTCAGTAACAATAAGTGGTGATGAAAAAACTATTGATGAAATACAACAAATTCTTTCCATAGCTTATCCTAATGTATTTAAAGCACGTCTTCGTATTGAAAATGCATTTCATTCATACCAAATGAATCGATTTGATATTGAAAAAGAAATGCTTTCATCATTGAAAGATATTCGAGGACTTCCAATACAAGATCAAAAACAAATTTTTGATCCAATATGTGCAAAAGCAAAACTTTATTCAAGTGTTATAGGTGAACAAATGCATGATAATATACCAGTTGATGGTCAATATTGGTGGTCAAATGTAAGACAAGCTGTTCGATTTTATGATGCTATAACATCAATTATAAAAGATGAAGCAGCAAATATTTTTCTTGAAATTTCACCACATCCAGTTTTAGCTACATCTATTCGTGAATGTTATGAATTAACAAATCAACAACAATCATCACCACTTATTCTTCCAACATTAAAACGAAAAGAAAATGAACAAATAACGTTACTAACGAGTTTAGCACAACTTACAACATCATCTCATGTATGGCAACAATATTTTCATACTCGCCAAATTTTATCTATGAAAAATCATGAAGAATATTTTGATGATTTTCCATTATATAAATTTCATCTTAATCCATGTTGGTATGAATCAAAAGATTCATCTATACAACGTTTAGCTAATCGTATATCTACTCACCCATTACTTGGTATTCGACAATTAAATGATCAAACAAGTGCAACATGGAAAAGTCTTATTAATATTAATTTACCACAACATTCTTTTTTAAAAGATCATAAAATTCAAGATGGAATTCTTTTTCCAGCTGTTGCTTATCTTGAACTTGCAACAGCTGCTTGTCATCAATTACTTTCATCAAAAGGTGATCAACAAAAAGAACAACAACCAACAATTATTTTTGAAGACGTTAATTTTATTAAAGCACTTGTTCTTAATGAACATGAATTAGTTGAAGTATTTACACAAGTAATTATGCCAATGCGTGAATGGTATATTTATAGTCGACCATGGTCAGCAGCTGGTCTAGATTGTATGCGTCCATCAGGTATGACTTGTACTGATGTTGTTGAATCATTTCGTGATCAAGATAATCTTAATAAATATTCATTAAATGAATTTACTTTACATGCTCAAGGTAAAATCGAAATAGATTTTAAAGAACAAAAATCATTAACAATACCTCCTCTTAATACAATTAATGATACATGGTCAACACAAGATATAGAAAGTACTTATGCACATCTTTCAACACGAGGTTATCAATATGGATCTAGTTTTCAAAAAATGAAAACATTACGTGGTACATCAACTACAGTTATATCTGAATTATCAAATGATGATAATGATTGCTCATCTTTTTATTTACTTCATCCATCTGTAATGGATTCATCTTTTCATCCATTTCTAGTTTTATTACCAGGTATTGAAACAACATTTCTTCCAGTACGTATTCAAAAATTTATTTATTCAAGTAAAACAAAAACAAAAATGAATCCATCAACAAACGTTGAAGTACGTGGAAAGTATCATGATAATATATGTGGTATAGGTCAAGAAGGAACATATAGTCTTGATTTATGGATATTTCCAATGGATAATAAAATCGAGGAACCAGTATTTACATGTGAAAGTATTAGTCTTCAACGAGTTCAAGGTGTACAATCTGGTCGATGGTCAATGGAAAAAACAATTTATGACAAATTAAATATGCAAACTGATTTACCTAATGCTGATCATAAAACATATTTAAATACAATTGTAAAAGATTATTGTATGAAAAGAGTATGGA